TTTACAAGGTATAGTTGCTCGAACAAGCATTTAATAAAATTCACGGAAGCTTCAATCACGTGTGAAACATGTAAGATGATCTCAGACTTAAAAACCTAGTTCTAATGTCTCACGCGGTCATGGGCTCTAACACATTGATGACGTCAGTCATGGTACATCGTGTAAGCGGATCTGGTGTGATGCACTGCTCAGCCAACTCTCTCAGGTCCTTGTTCCACATCAGTGCAATTTGTCGCTCTCTTTCAGCAGGATTAGGTGTTTGGTTGATGCAGAGTTCACAGAGGAGAACACCAAAGCTGTACACATCCATCTGTTGGGAAGCAAACATGAAGAGTTGTAGATCAATGTCAGTATCTGAGCAACTGCCCGCCTACCCCTCCCCTAACCCAATAAAACATTTGATAAGATAACAAGCTAGGGTTAATGTTGAGTTTGGGGAGGAGTAGGCGCGCAGGTGCTCAGATACTGAAACTGATCCGATCTGATTTTGTCTGTTTTTTTTTCTTTGCAGTTTTATCCAAAACAAATTATTAATTGCAAGAAAAAGATTTCAGGGTTGGGAAAAAATTGTCAAGCCAAATAATTAGTCGACAGGTTTGACGATCTTTGCTACGTGGGTTTCACTAAGCTACTCTTTGACTCAGTCCGTATAAAAAGTGACTGTTATTGTCGGTCTAATAACCTCAAACCGAAAAACTCGGAATAAGAAATCCTAGACACTGATGTTTATGAACGCACTTCTCTATGATATTTTTATATGATAAAACCTGGATAATGGAGAGACTAGACGGGTAAATTGTCCATAATTATTATCACTTTTTTTTTTTTTTTTACCTTGGGGCAGTGTCTAGAACTGTTTGCTTCAGGAGCACAGTAAAACGGATTTCCCGGATTCTCTGACATCTTGCTTCCCATGAACTCCGCTGACCCAAAATCGCAGAGTTTCCCGCGCCACTTGTCACCTTGGCGCCAAACCATGACATTCCCGCTGTTTACGTCACGATGCAGTATGGGATTGGGTCGGAAGCAGTGAAGGTAGTTCAGACCATAAGCGACATCAAGCGCCAGTATCCTGATGTATCTGTTGCCTAAGGTTTTCTCATCTTTAACAAGTTGAGACAAAGACATGTCCATGAGTTCCGCCACTAAGAGGGGTTTGCTGGTACGGTAATCAGCCACAGCTAAGAACTGTAAAATACATGGATGTCTCACTAGAGTGGCAAACGTGATTTCGCGATCAAAGAGGAGTCTGTTATGAGCTGATTGAATTATTTCGTGGATTTCTTTCACTGCCACTTTTGTTCCTCGAAAATTCCCTTCAAGGACTCTTCCCCACGCGCCAGTACCAAGAACCTTATCGGAGAGTTTGATTTCTTCTCTTGGGATGATCCATGGTTGATCTCCACGGAATATGTCAGTAGTTTGACGCGCTCTATCAATTTCACGTTCTAAGACACGGTTACGTCTTTGATATGTTTCAACATCCGCTTGAGCGCGCTGCAAACGTTCTTCACACGCACGTTTCTCGTCACGTAACGCATCATACGCATTTCGTTGTGTTCTGCGCTCGTCCTGCCATTGCTTCTCGAGTCTATCCAATCAGTCAGACGTCCCTTTTCTCGAGTTTTCTAACGTTTCCAAAGTCCTGTCCTTCTCCAAAAGCAAATTATCTTTGCGTTTAAGTTGATCTCGGAGTTCAATACTCTCATCTCGAGCTTGCTGCATTGCCTGGTCCTTCTCTTTTAGTCTTATCTCTAACTGGTCGAGATATGCCATGCCTCTTTCCTTCTCTCTGTTTAATCGATCGACTGAAAACTTTCGTTCAAGACTGATCTTATCGCAATCTCTTTTCTCTTCTTGAATAGTTTCCTTTTCACGTTTTAAAGAGTTTATCTCGCGTTCTCTCTCTCTTAGAGTGCTAAGATTTTCCTGCAGTTGTAGCTTATAGCGTTCATTTTCTCTCTTGAGGGACTCAAACTCAACTTTAACATCTAAGTCAGCATTGAACGCTTCTCTGGAATGATGGCCGTTTTTCGTTTGTTTATCCAAATTTTCCATTGTGCCCTGCACTTCTTTCACAATCTCCTCTTGTTCGGCTTGCTGTTTCTGTAACAGCTCAACTCGATCATTCGCTTCATTTAATAATCGTTCTTTTTCTCTTAGCTCTGACTCTTTTTCGTCTATTCGTTGAATAAATGTTAGCATTTTCTCTTGAAAAGACTGGATAACAAATTCCTTGCCTTCAATGGCCTGCTCCTTTTCCTCAATGCGTTCCAAGTGACGTTCTAGTTCAACAGTCAAACGGTCAAGAATTTCCTTTTCTTTTGAAAGAATTTCATCTTTTCCATGTAGCTCTATCAACAAATGTTTAATCTTTGACTTCATGGCCCTCTTTTTACGGGGAATTTGCTTTTCAAGGTATGTTTCGGAAAGTTCTTGATCAGCTTTGCTCTCCGTTTTCAAATTGTCTCGCTTTTTCTCTTTCTTTGGTCTGGCCTTGGCCTTAAAAGTGTCACATGCTGGAATTTCTTCATTAGATACCGTGTTTTCGTCATCCTCGTTTCCAACAACTTGGAAAGTTCTCTCGATAACTGAAGAGTCCTGTAAGCTGAATTCTGGGATGACTTCTCCCATTTGTTCAAGTTCTTTTATGCTCTTAAAGATAAAGTTTTTGTAAGAGCATGTAACACTTATCTGAACTCACTGAATTTGTGAAATCTTAAACATCCACCAACCGTTATCAAAATTAAGGTTCCGTTCACGCAATCTTATGAAAGACCCTCTTGAAAGCAAGGACGTTTTTGAGGCCTGGGGAAGAGGGGGGAG